GCAGCGCACAGTTTTGGAATCACTGCTTTGGACTAATAAATAAAAATTCCTTAATTCATCTTTAGTAAATAAAAGAATAATTGATTCCAGATGTACATTTCCATCTGCCACTCAAACAGGAACCAATTGATGCATTATTTTCAGATCTCAATCTAGAAATGATGCTGATGAACTTGATCAGCGCTGCCCTCCACGGAACACCTTTGGCTGGCCGTGGTATCATTTCTGGTCTTGTGCTGACAGCCGGTGGAGGTATAAATGGGCTAAAGGGTTTGCTTGCTGCAACCGGTGGCAGTTTAAGCGGCCTTTCTAGTCTCTTGGCAGCAGCCGGGCCTGGTACAAGTCGCTCTGATGCGTTGACCGAACTCCTACGATCAGTCACAAGTGGAAATACTTCAGCGTCTGTAGGAGACAGTAGGTCAAATAACCCTTTGATCGGAGGCTTGCGTTATCTGATCGACGATCTGGCCCAAGGGGCTGGAATCGCTCAAGGCTTGGCTCAATTGTTCAAAAGTTTGAATGACGAAGACCCAGAAGATGCATTAAAAGTGAGCTTGATCCCATAGAAAATTTTGAGAAAGATCAATTTTGCTACTCGCTTGGCTGTAGAAACGCATTAACATTTGTCATACCTCATATTCTAATAAGAATTGAATACTGAGTAAATAAGTCCAATTGAACCCTGGCACACTCCTGAAAAGGTTGCAATACAATAGCATTTGCTTCGAGTCCTGAGAAGGTCATGGATTACGTGTCCCATAGTAACAATCTTGTCGTTCATTTTTACGCATACTATAGGCATGCTGTACAGACTACAGAAGTGATGATCTTATTTAACCTATGAGAAGATATGAGAATGTGAATGGAAGATAGTACAAACGGTCTTTTCTTTTGCTACCATATAACAAGCACGAAACATTTCGCATAAGCTATATCTTTGAAGTTGCCTCAAAAGCCATTTGATGTACTTGATCATGCACGACCTGCTGATGCTTTCCAGAATTTTGTCTGAGGCGAAGGGATTATGCACTATATGGAACTTTCAAAACCTGTATAAGTCCAGCAAACATCTGTATCCAATAAAATTTTATCTTATGGGCTAAATCAGAAGGGTTTGCTCATTGAAAAAACATTCAAAATTGCATGAATTAAAATCCATGTGCCATTGGGATTAAGTGAAGCTGTTTCATGTTTTCAACAAAAGATGCTACGAAGCAGAAAATGATATCGAACAATGTTTCTACTAACCCTAGGTCGCATAAGGCATCAGAGGACTGATACAAGTCACGTGAACTTGTTTTCACAACTTGATCGTATTGTCATATCGCCTCGAGAAGTACGGATATGGTGGCAACGATTGAGTGAAATCCT